ACCACCATGACTAATTCGTGAACTAACGAAGAAAGGAAGAACGTCATAAATGTTGCATCTCGCTTTGATAATTTATAAGACTCGATAGAATACTGGTAGACATGTCTCAGGAGAAAATGGTGAACTGGTTTGTTCCATTTTCTGGCAAACTCATCCCACGTTGCGCTAAATAAAAAAGGTGTTGGCGCTCTGAATATGACGTTCCGACAACTTGTAAAGAATATGACATTTACGAAGAGACAGATTAATTTTACCTATTCCACCAGTCATCATAAAAACTCCTATCCGCAAACCTTGAAGTTAAATTATAAAATGCACGATCAGAATTACGTTCATAATAGTTCCCTCCTCTCCAATCTACTTCCGGTTAACTATACCTTGTCAACTCGGCGAAAGCATTACAAATTCCCTCAAATATTATATAAAATATTAGTAAATAATTCACCATGAATGGAAACAACATTTGTAACATGCAGTCGTAGATGGATGTTGAAACATTGGGTAACACGGGGAGAATATACTCTTCAGTGTTGACATATAACAAGAGGAATGTGCCAAATATCGCTGCCGCCTTTTCAACAACATACCAAGGGCGTATTCTGTTAACAACAACAGATTTATGTTAATCAGATGATATGCCACTCGTAAATTAAGAATGCCCATTTTTCAACTTACTTTTCTGTTCTAGGATACTCCAATTCATAGACTAAGGTCGGTACCAGCAAGAAATCAATGAAATTCATGATCGTAATGTTATTAGGATAACTGATGTTTCCGGCTGGACTATTAAGATACCCCTCAACTTGTTCGATTTGCAATTTTAACCCATCCATTTCTCGTTGCTTTCTACTTTTATTCCCTTCATCGTCAGATTTCTTCAATTCTCCAACTGATTTAGTATATTCTCTTCTCAAGTCTTCAAGTCGTAATGCCCATTCCGAAAGTTCTCCGCAGTAAAAGGAATAGGAATGCAATTTCATTAACATTGCAATGGTGTGTAAAACGAAAAATCCACTTTGCACCCAGGGCCAATTTCTGAACAAGAATCATCATCATCAGAATCTCATCAATC